GTCCTCGGTCACATCCAGACCTTGAAAATAAGGCTGCAACCGGTCCCATTCCTTGCAACAGAGGCATTCCTCTTCTGTGGGCACTGGGGCACAGCATTCACAGGTACACCACCAATCTCCAGAGCTACGCAGCCTTGCAGCAGCCATTCCTCCTCTCTCGTCCTCTACCTGTTGCGCCTCTCTCTCTCTCCTCCTCCGTTCTTCAATTTCACGAAGCTCTTCGTCAGTGTATTCTGGCTCAAATAAATAAGGGCGGCCATCAAACTCTGCAAAATCAAATTCCTCCTCCACAAAGTGGAAGTCTGGCAAAAAGTCAGCCATTATTCTATAAATCTTTCATAAAATAAATGAATGAACTTTTCAGGCTACTGTCTGGTTCTGCCTTCCAGCTGTTGCTGCTTGTTCTCGCAAGATTTCAGGCACGGTATGAGATTGCTGCTTGTTCTGCGATATTTCGGGCACGGTATGAGATCGCTGCTTGTTCTGCGATATTTCGGGCACGGTATGAGATCACTGCTTGTTCTGCGATATTTCGGCCGCGCTTTGGAAAGCAGAGCTAAATGGTAAACAAACATGGCACCACACCGGTAAGGTAAGACAACACGTTTCCATGTCATTTTCTATATGTTCTCTGACATTTATCCTAACGATATGAGGCGGTCTTTGTGGAAAAAAGCTTGTTTAGTGGACTAACTTTGCACTTGAAGGTTGCCCGTTCACTTACGTTTTAACAGGTCTGACGCTACTATGTGCCCCGGCTGTATCTAGGCTAACGGCTAATATGCTAACTATTATTTTTATGTCACTAGTCACTTGAAACAAATTTAGGACGATAGGAGACAGGTTGAAATAAACCGAAATTTCCCTTTAATCACTCTGCAATGGTGCAGAGTGCAAAGGATGCTGGAGTAAATATGGAAAGATAAAAGTCACAGAAATGTAAATGTGAAACCAGTGTGCCAGTGTTACAGTGACCCCTTAGTCGTGTTAAATCTGTAAAGTAGAGACCAATGTCTTCTCAGCTTGGGACAGGGACAGTGTCAGATTTTTCTTGTTAAAACATAACTGTTACCTGGAATGAGTTACATAAACACAAAGGTCAGGTGTTTCATGAGGGAACATACGTGTTTGGCAGCTGTGGCTGTCTGCACATTGATAAGAAGGAGGAACGCTTCGAAGCTGTGATATGAATTAATGACATTAAATCAGTTCATGTCAGTGTCTGTGGTTTGAAACTCATCAGTCACTTTGTTGAGTTACGAATATTGATGGCATTTGGGATGAAGGACTTCTTGAATACATTTGTAGTTGCGAGGGACCCTATAGCGTCTCTTTGCTTTCTTCCTCGTCCTTTATGGTTGGTCAAGTGATTTTGTGGTTTGCCAACTTTTTTGCCAGCCATTGGCACAATCCTAGAAACTTTGTTCTTCGATATTCAGTTCAGGTGACCGTACCAGGCAGGAAGGTGAAAAATATTGTTTGTACACTAGTTCTGAAATCTGCCAACTAACACCGAGGTCACTAAGTTTCCTAAGA